TCTAATCTATAATTGATGGACATGCTTTATTTGCGCAACTAAGTTGCAAGTCCGCTTTTAACGGTGGTTACGCATATTTGACATTTCCATCAGAGACTGATGCTTTGGCTTGATGCATTTCTGAACGCATCCTTTATCCTGCCCAAATGGAGTGCTTCGGATACCAGACGATCTGCGGAGCAACTAGGTCTTACCTTCTTTAGACGGAAGTTCGGGGTCCCTCCAAACAAGCCGAATTGAGCCTCGTCTACGCCTCAACCAGAGCTAAGACAGCCCCGAACCCTCTTACCGCAACGAAAAGCCCACAACGAAGCCAAACAGCCGGGCCGCCAGCACACACCAACATTAGTATCAAAGATCCTTCTGGTACAGGTAGTCCGAAGGCTAGTTCCACTCACAAAAGTGGAAGAAGCCAAGAAGAGCACATAGAGTGTTCACTTCACCGATCAGGAGGGATCAAAGTCCAAAGTCAGTATACCGGATGTTTACATCGAATCGCACGGTAAGGAAACTCAGTTCTACAGAACTAGGTCTATTAATAGTCTAAGTGTAGCCAGGAGCTCGTCTTAAATTTGCAAAGCCCGAAACATACGAGACGAATATTAGAACAAACCGCCCTCAATTTTGCAAAACTAGCACTGAAACTTAGTTGCGTTCGCTCGAAATTGAAAATCCATACAGGGGCCCCGATATGGGTGGTAAATTTGAGCACTAGAAAATAAGCTACAATCTACATCCTGTGCGTTGTTACCCTTACAGTGCTTTTTAGAAGAAGAAGTATATTTATGTAGTGGAAATGCAAATGGGTTTACGTTTATGGCCAAATAAGGTAGGAAATTTCATGTATCCTCTAAGGATTTCAGACCAATGAATCTCTTATGGTTTCTTTTAAAGTTTGATTTAGCCACACATCAAAGCCAGATCCCAAGTGAGCGGTTTTCTTTAAATCAGCCTACCTAACTTAAGCGTAGATCCGTTAAATAAGCTTTACACGCCTTCGTTGAAGAGATTGGTTAGCAATACCTGCATCATAGGGACAATATACTTCGTCATCAAGCTCATATGAATTGCAGGGTGTAGAATAGGCAACTGCTGGGTCGATAACGGTAACGATAAGAAAAACAAATCACTCGGTATTGATAGGAGTCTTAACTGGTCATTGTCCGATTGGATTCCACGTTGTAGGACTCAACATCATCTCAAGTCACTACTGCAGTAGCTACATATATGGAGGAGGATGCGTGGGAATCATCCCAATACATGCTACTCAGCTGCCCAGCTTTCGCGAGCTTAAGGTTTCAAAACCTAGCGGTTTACTATCTTTTCACTCCTGATGGGGGTTCGGAAATATATATTTATACATTATCGACAGCTTGCGGAACTTTGTTGCGGGTGGGTAGTGTTTTTCGATGACCAATACTGCCGCCGATGGTCCTTCCTTTTTTCCATTACTATTGAAAATTTAGCTTGTTTTTTAGGCCTCCTCCGAAACAACAAAAAAGAAAACAGAAAAAATTAAGATCATCTGGCGTAGCGTGAAAACAACACAACCGAATAAAAGTGGTGTCATTAATGAAGGTGAAATACCTACAGTAGACGAAAAAAAAACGATGCGAAAAATTATGCTTCCAAGTGAAGCCAAATAACAAAATCTCTAAGCGTTTACATTGAAAGCAAAACAATTGACTGGCCAATATTGCGCTTAGGGCCATCTCGTTTTTCGCATTAACAAATTTTATAGCCATCACTGAGTAACTACTGTTTGCCATTTGCCGCCGCCTTAAAGGCGACTACACGAGCAATTTAACAAAATTTCAGCAAAGCAAAAAAAGGAGAAACGAGACAAATTAAGCAGGGAAAAATATGCATTGAGCAGCCTGCGCCACCACTCGGGGGCACATGCAACATACAGAAGCCGATGTGAAAGATACACATTGTAGAAAATTTCACAGCGTTTTTGCCACAAAACAAAAAAAAAAACACTAAAAATTCAAAAACAAAATACAAGCAGACAATACTGGTAGCTAAATAATAGCGCGCTTTTTTTTTGTACGGAATGACTTAAATGTTGCTGTTGTTGTTGTTGCTGCTGCTGCTGGTTTTGTTGGCTAATCGCTTGCGGGTGTTTGAACGTCATTGAAATTGCTGCCTGCTGCCTCCTTCTGGTTGCTGGCTGTTGCAAAGCTGCAAGTTGCAAGACAACGATGCACAAGCGTGGGAAATTGCTGCTGGTCACAAGCAAGCAAGCAAGCAAGCATGCACTAAAGCGTAATAAAGCAATAGCAACAACAAAAACAGCACTCCAAAAAAGAAGCAGCTACTGTGACTTCAACAAGTGCCAATAAACTTGAAGTGATCTTTTTTTCTGCTGCGCTGCCACCTCTCTAACAACTTCTCTTTCAGTTTCACACAAAGATTCTCACTGGAATTCTGATTCATTTGCTGCTGCTGCTGTTGCTGCTGCTGTTGATTTCGATTGTTACACCAGCCAGTAGCGTGCTAAGTAGGCGTTGGCGGCAGACGTTTGCCTGCAAATATTTCTACAACCAAATTTTATGCCACACAAAAAAATAAAACGAAAATTTCAAATTAATACAATTTTGATGCATTTGTTGTTGGCATAAGCATTTCTAATTGCCACTTGCTTGCTTTGCTTCGCATTGTCTTCGAAGCTGCTCGCTCGTTCGTGCATAAATATGTAGCCTTGCAACAATGCCACCACCACCACCACCAACTGCCAACCTACCCGCCAATCACTTTGATCATTTTGTTGCAACCTTCAATCGACAATTGATTGTCCCACTAAATCAAATTATATGTACATACATATGTATGTATGTACATATGTATGAGCGTACCGACAGTGGTTGCATGCATTTGATTGCATATGATTTGCTTCATAGTCGCCTTGCGGCTGTCACGTCGCCCCTACTTCAATCCAGGCAAAGTCGATCACGGTTAAGGTTTGATACGTTAAGCTTCATTAGACATTTGAGAACTGCTGCAACTTTATTACCTTCAACCGATGGGCAATTCTGGCTAATATGGTTTTTTAACCAGGGTAGGGCTTCGGAGCGGAGCGGAGCAAAGGAGCAAGGAGCAAGGGATTTGAGCTGGAGCGGAGCTAGAGCAAAGTGCTGAAAAAAATACATTTGCTCCTTAGCCCCTTAAAGACAAAATTTTATCATTTTGTTTTTGTTCTTTTCTGGCCTAGTAACTATTTATTTTGAGATATTTTTATTGTGGTTTTTCCACAACATTTTTCAATATAAACGGCCTCAAGCTCGATAAAAATAAAAAAAAATAATCAGTTAATAAATTTACTTATTTTTTTCCATTAACAACAACCGTGCTAAATAAATTTCCATTCTATTTAATTAACTTCGGAATTTTTTAAAATTTTCTTTTGGATGCAGAAGTGTTCTTAGGACACCTACATAGATGCATTTCTCCATCAAAAAGAAATTAAAACAAAATGTGGCTTACGTTTTTCCCCCATACAAAAAAAAACTATCACGCATCCATTATATGGAGAAAATGAGCAACATCATCAGCAAACAAAATTCTCAAAAACTAACGGTAGTTTATAGCTACTTAAAACTTTTTTTTTATTATATTGAAATAGAGTGAACTACCAAACTGCATACTCAAAAAAATTCAACAAAATTTTGTTTAATTAAAAGATACAAATTTTGGTGAAAATTTGTCGAATTTTCCTAAATTTTGTAAAAACTTTGAATCATTAATTTATATGCCATTTGATGCAGAATTAACTTTACTCTTTACTACCTACCTGTATGTATTTCTAGAAATTTCTATCAAAAACGTCCAAATTTGTGTGTATTTTATTTTTTTATTTTTTTACTCTGTCCAAAGACTGAAACTTGAATTAATCTGATTTTTGTTAGAGACCTAACAATGTTTTAAATAAAATATCAAAACTTGTCAATACGATTAACAGCTATTATTTTACCGGCCAGCATTTGAAAATACCATTACTAACAAATATGGGAAACATTGCGAGTATTTAAAAAAAATTTTCTTTGTTAAATTTTGTCAGCAAGGGTAACAAAGCAAATAAGCAAATGGATGTATAGAATTGACAACAACAACCACG